CATGAATACTTACCATTGTATTCCAGTTGCCTACAGTATTCAGTATAGTAGCATGCTGTACATGTTTGTAGCATAGGAACAATAGGCTATCCAATATAGCCCAGATGTATAGTAGGCTATACCATTCTAGGTTTGTAGAAGTACACTTTATGACGTTTGCACAATGACAAAACCACTTAACAACACATTTCTCAGAACTTGTCCCTATTGTTAAGTGATGAATGAGTGTATTTGTGAATTTTTCAGATTTAATTACATTATTGATAGCTAGTCTCATTCTGTTGTGCTCAGAAAGATGCTTGGGGTGATTTCAATGTTAAATTTGTTAAGACTTGTTTTTTTTTTTCTTTCATTCTTTATTATACTTTAAGTTCTAGGGTACACGTGCACAACGTGCAGGCTTGTTACATATGTATACATGTGTCATGTTGGTGTACTGCACCCATTAACTCATCATTTACATTAGGTATATCTCCTAATGCTATCCCTCACCACCCTGCCCCCACCCCATGACAGGCCCTGTGGTGTGATGTTCCTCTTCCTGTGTCCAAGTGTTCTCATTGTTCAATTCCCACCTATGAGTGGTTTCTCAGTAAACTAAGGCAAGGACTATCACAAGGACAAAAAGACTTGTTTTATGACCTAATATGTGAACTATGCTGGAGAATATTTTGTGTGCCCTTGAGAAGAATGTGTATTCTGATGTGTTGGGTAGAATGTTCTGTGTGTGTCTGTTAGGTCCATATGGTCTATAGTGTGGTTCAAGTCAGTTTCTTAAATTGATTTTCTGTCTGGATGTTCTATCCATTATTGAAAATAGGGTATTGAAATATCTTACTATTATTGTGTTGCTATCTATTTCTCCCTTAAATTATGTCAATGTTTGCTTCATATATTTGGGTTCTCCAATGTTGGGCACATATATTTCTAATTGTTATATCTTCCTGATAAATTGAACCCTTTTATCATTATATAGTCTCATCCTTTGTCTCTTGTAACAGTTTGTTTTGCTTTTAGATGAATATAAAATTATTTTTTACCACAAACAAGATGTAGTCAAACCTGCTTTAGGAAGCTTCAGTCATTCTCTAACACAGATGTTCCAGGCGACTGCCCATTCTGTCAGACTCAAGGAGGCTCTCTCTTTTCATGTGGCCATCTATCAGCCTGTTTATAGTTTTCTCTTTTCTATAGCATCATCTACTGTGTCCTTGTCAAAACCTTTCCAGGTTTGGGTTTGTGTATTTTCCCAAACCTCTAATTTCTTGGACAATTTCTTTCATCATTGTCAGTCAAATCTGACATGGTCAGGTTATGTCCACTAAGCTCTGGAATGAGGAAACCCTTTTTTTTTTTTTTTTAAACACACCTTAAGAGAGGATGCTCCAATTCTGCCTGGACATATGGAACAGTTCAACCCCCATACATTAGGGGAAACCTATGTATCCAGTGATTAATATAATCATGAAAAGAATTAAAGTATCCTGTTATTAATACAATCATGATAAGAAAATGAAAAGGACTTTCTTAGAAGATGGACCTAATTGATCCTTATCTATTCACTTTTTGATCCATTTCCTCACAACCATGTCTAAAAAAGAAGATAGTAGATGGCAAAGATATACAATTATCTCCCAATTGTTGTTCCAACCCGCCTCACCACTGCGAGTGCATCATCATTCTGCGAGTGCTTTTAAATTGTATTGAACTTCACATTCACTTTTGTTTTATGCAGGTTTAACATAATTATATTAAGGATACTAAGCTTTCTTTAGCCAAAAATATGAACACTTTACATCATTAACAATATTTCTGCTATATTTTTCTACAAAATTGTAATTTAACTGGTGATGTGGTAGAACCACACACAAAAAAGCAGACCGCATACATAAATATTTCAAACACAGGATATGATGCTTATTCAGAAGTTTATAGAATATTAATGTTGCAAAGCAGAAGTTGAATTTAATCTGAACATTGAAGGATACTATAATGTGGTTCAAGAGTGAGGAAAGGTTTAGATTATTTAGATAAGGGTAGAGGATGAACAAAGTTCCTAAAGCAGAAGTGAGCATATGCTGTGTGTGGAGCTCATAGGATGGGGTTGAAGAGGCTGACCTGACACTTGCATGTTGGGGAGGGATGGAAAAAGAAAACTGGATAGAGGTGGTGGAGGCAGAGTCAATTGACTTTAAGAGCCACGTGGTGTGATCTGTAACTGAGAGGACATTGTTACTAAGCAGTGAGATCAATAACCTAATCCTCTGTGAGATCCACAGAGATTTGTTTACTTTCGCCATGTGAGATATCAGTTACATTTGTTTTTTGAGAGGGGCAATAGAGACCACTGATGACCGTGGCCATTGAAAGAACTATGGGCATAATTGTTCAGTTTGCTGGTAAGTGATTCTTGTCCATTAAAGAGAGAAAGTTCTAGTGGCAAGCTGGTAGCCATGGGAGTATGTGAGAATAAAGGAAGATAAATATTTTAAGGTTAGTAGAGATTTGAGCATGTTCATGTACTGGAGGTAAAGAGAAAGTAATGAAGCAAAAGTTGAGGATAAATCTGACAGTCAATCTTCAAGTAGGTAGGGCTATAGGATTCATAGTACAGATAGAGGGGCTATGAGCTGGAACTGGAGGAAGATACATCTTTCACTGAAATTGAATCCAAGATCCCAGGGAGAGATAAGAATGACTGTAGTTTCAGATAGGATTTTATTTTCAGCAAAGAAAGAGGGACAGAGTTTTTCTCTAAAGCTTTCATTTTCATTGCTTGGCTACTGCTCTTCCAGTGGATTTTGACTGTGACCACAATAAGAAATTTAGCTTAGTTTACATTGAGACTCAGTGAGCATGGGAGTATGCAGATACAAACACAGACACAGAAAATTAAATATAAACTTTCGTTACAGTGTGTGAAGCTCTTGGTAAGCATCTGTGTAAAACCCTCTGATATTTTCTACACAATTGTGTTTCCTTTGGTTGTGGCCCACTAAATTGATTTACAGTTTGTGACCTGAGTCTGAGAAACACGAAATTAGGCTGTCACTGTGAGTGAGGGGAGAGATCATAAGACAGGTGTTGATGCGTTTTAAATTGTTACTGGAATTAGAAGAAAGAGTTAATTACTGATGCAGAGGAAGATTCTCACAGTGGTTGAAATCCCAGTAATATTAGAGGAAAGGCCTTCAGAATACACCCGTTCACAAAATTAATGGGAAGGCAATGTTCCTTTAAGACTTGTCTTTGGAGTAATGCATTGATGACAAGGACTGGCCTATCACAGATTCTTTGGAATAAACTTTTGTATTATAACCTCATCATATTTCTGACTATACATAATACAGGTTTTATCTTCTCTACAAGGCTTTTTCTTTCATGATCCTCTCTCAGTTCACCCATTTCCATCTTAATATTCCAAACTCTATGACACATACCAAGAATATTATGAGGAGAGCTATGGAGAGGAAATCTAAATTGGGATTTCACCTGTATCAGATATACTTGCCCTAAGAGGTCTCATCCAGTGCTCCTGATTTCCTCTTGTGGCATCTGGTGGCCATCCATTAGTTCTGGACACCTACACGGAGGGATGCAGGTTTTCTTGACATCATAATGCTAAGGATGTTGCACATGTTCATTTGTGCTCTTAGAATATTGAGGCCGCCAGTATATGTTAACAACGTGTCTCCAAATTTGTTTTAATGTTTTGATTTCAAATATTGAGTAAATCATTAACAACATTTTTAAGTGAAAGTCAGGAACTGAGCAAAGTTAGCTTTTACTTGAGCCAAACTTTTTTTCAACAGTGATGAGGTTTTTAAGTCTACTCAAATTGTGGTCTTCTGAACATTACAATGAACGGACTCTAGGCTTAAGCTCCTCTGTGTAGGCTTTCTTTGGAATTGAGATTGAAATCAATCCAGGTAACTCATCAGCCATGTGAAAAATAGAATCAAATCTGTATTGACATGACCAGGAGGAGCCTCTTATGATAGAGATCATGATGCTAGTTGGCTGTGTGCCCTGCCCCAAAACAGCTGCCCCACTCCCTGTTACCCCATCACATGCCTTCCTTCCTTGGAATGCCCAGGGCTTTTCTGCAGATAAGAATATATTATAAAGTTTAAAAGTCTTGATTGGAGGAGGTCTCTCAATACTAATAAGCCCTTTTAGTGGGGCTTTTTTGACTACCAATTTAGAGCAGAATTAAGTATACATAAAATGTCTGGGATAGGAGAGGGGAGATGGAGCAAACTACACGAATAAAGGAACACAAAATGGTGGATTTTGAATGTGTTGTCCATATGCTTATTGAATGTGAGGTTGCCAGTAGGTTTTTGGTTGGAAGAAAGATTTGTGTCAGAATACAATGTCTTTAAAATGAACAATTTTGCCTGGTGTGACAGCTCATGCCTGTAATCCCAGTACTTTGGAAGGCTGAGACAGGAAGATCACTTGAGACCAGGAGTTTGAGACCCACTTGGGTAACATAGTGAGACTCCATCTCTACCCCCCAAAAAAAATCAAAAAGAAAAATTAGCTGGGTGTTGCAGTGCATGCCTGCAGTTCTAGCTACTTGGAGGCTAAGGTGGGAGGATCTTTTGAGTCCAGGAATTTGAGGCTGCAATGTGCTATGATTGTGTCACTGCACTACAGCCTGGGCAACAGAGCAGAACCCCATCTGTAAAATAAAGAAATAATAAAATAAATACATACATTAAAATAAAATGGAAAATGTCTTGCCATTTTACATGTTTAAAGAACAGTATATAATGACTCTTTAGGTATCCATCATGAAAATTTGAAAATAACTCACCTATGTGCAATCTCCCCCATCTGGAAATCTTCTTGGCCATATGTATTAAGAGAATCCTATGTATTTTATTGCTTCAAATATGGTCCAAATGCAGGAATCACCTTGCCTTTTTTCTCTCTCTTTTTCTCCCTTTCTATCCCACCCACCCCATCCTGGCTCTTTCGGTTTTTATTTTCAGCACTGCAACTCTGATGGTCCAGCTCCACCAGGACACAGATCCCCAGATCCCTAAAGGTCAGCCATGCACCCTGAACAGCTCAGAGGGAGGAGCCAGACCACCAGTGCCTCACACCTTGTCCTCTTCTGCTCTAGACAGATGGCTCCATAATGACAGCTTCATAATGGCAGTGGGTGAGCCCCTGGTGTACATCAGAGTCGCTCTTCTGCTGCTCTGGTTTGGGATGTTTTTGTCTGTTTTTGGCCACTCTCAGGCCAGGCCCTCCCAGCGTTTCACTTCTCCAGAAGTGGTGATCCCTTTGAAGGTGATCAGCAGGGGCAGAGGTGCAAAGGCTCCTGGATGGCTCTCCTATAGCCTGCGGTTGGGGGGACAGAGATACATCGTCCACATGAGGGTAAAGAAGCTGTTGTTTGCTGCACACCTCCCTGTGTTCACCTACACGGAGCAGCATGCCCTGCTCCAGGATCAGCCCTTCATCCAGGATGACTGCTACTACCATGGTTATGTGGAGGAGGTCCCTGAGTCCTTGGTTGCCCTTAGTACCTGTTCTGGGGGCTTTCTTGGAATGCTACAGATAAATGACCTTGTTTATGAAATCAAGCCAATTAGTATTTCTGCCACATTTGAACACCTAGTACATAAGATAGACAGTGATGATACACAGTTTCCACCTATGAGATGTGGGTTAACAGAAGAGAAAATAGCACGCCAGTTGGAGTTGCAATTGTCATATAATTTCACTCTGAAGCAAAGTTCTTTTGTGGGCTGGTGGACCCATCGGCGGTTTGTTGAGCTGGTGGTGGTCGTGGATAATGTTAGATATCATTTCTCTCAAAGTAATGCATCAACAGTGCAGCATGAAGTATTTAACGTTGTCAATATAGTGGATTCCTTCTATCATCCTTTGGAGGTTGATATAATTTTGACTGGAATTGATATATGGACTGCATCAAATCCACTTCCTACCAATGGAGACATAGATAATGTTTTAGTGGAATTTTCTGTTTGGAAGAATTATAACCTTAATAATCGATTACAACATGATGTTGCACATCTTTTCATAAAAGACACACAAGGCACGACGCTTGGTGTTGCCTATGTTAAAGGAATATGCCTGAATCCTTTTAATAGTGGAGTTGATGTTTTTGAAGATGAGAAGTTGGTCATTTTTGCAGTTACCTTGGGCCATGAGCTTGGTCACAATTTGGGTATGCAACATGACACCCAGTGGTGTATGTGTGAGCTACGGTGGTGCATAATGCATGCCTATAGAAAGTTAACAACTAAATTTAGCAACTGCAGTTATGCCCAATATTGGGACAATACTATCAGTAGTGGATTATGTATTCAACCTCCTCCATATCCAGGGAATATATTTAGACTGAAGTACTGTGGGAATCTAGTTGTTGAAGAAGGAGAGGAATGTGACTGTGGAACCATACAGCAGTGTGTAAAAGATCCCTGTTGTCTGTTAAACTGTACTCTACGTCCTGGGGCTGCTTGTGCTTTTGGAATGTGTTGCAAAGACTGCAAATTTCTGCCATCGGGAACTTTATGTAGACAAAAAGTTGGTGAATGTGACCTTCCAGAGTGGTGCAATGGGACATCCCATCAATGCCCAGATGATGTGTATGTGCAGGATGGGATCTCCTGTAATGTGAATGCCTTCTGCTATGAAAAGACATGTAATAACCATGATACACAGTGTAAAGAGATTTTTGGCCAAGATGCAAGGAGTGCATCTCAGAGTTGCTACCAAGAAATCAACACCCAAGGAAACCGTTTTGGTCACTGTGGTATTGTAGGTACAACATATGTAAAATGTTGGTCCCCTGATATCCTGTGTGGGAGGGTTCAGTGTGAAAATGTAGGAGTAATTCCCAATTTGCTAGAGCATTCCACAGTACAGCAGTTTCACCTCAATGACACCACTTGCTGGGGCACTGATTATCACTTAGGGATGGCTATACCTGATATTGGTGAGGTAAAAGATGGCACAGTATGTGGTCCAGAAAAGATCTGCATCCGTAAGAAGTGTGCCAGTATGGTTCGTCTGTCACAAGTCTGTCAGCCTAAGACCTGCAACATGAGGGGAGTCTGCAACAACAAACAACACTGTCACTGCAACCGTGAATGGGCACCCCCCTACTGCAAGGACAAAGGCTATGGAGGTAGTGCTGATAGTGGCCCACCTCCTAAGAACAACATGGAAGGATTAAATGTGATGGGAAAGTTGGGTTACCTGTCACTATTGTGCCTTCTTCTTTTGGTTGCTTTTTTATTTTGCTTACGTGTGCTTTTAAAGAAACGCACAAAAAGTAAAGAAGATAAAGAAGGATAAGAGAAATGGGAAAAAGAAGGAGACTAAGCTTCATACTTCATTTTTAATATCTAATTTTTCTTAATAGAAAAATATGAATGCATGTCTCACTGTTTAAATAAAACATCATGGATATTTCATGTCAGGATCACAAGCATTATCTATCACAGCAAAGGATTCCTAGCATATTCTTACTCTACAGTGTCTTAAGCAATATTAAAGATTCCTTTTCCCAGAAGTTGTGTCTTTATGTTTCCTGAGCAAAGGCACAGAAAAGATAGTTTCAAGCTCTTGTCCCTCAGTTTTAACCCTTCTCTCTCTCTCTTTTTTTTTTTTTTTTTTTTTTGCTGTACTACGTAATGTTCAGGATGTGCCTGTACACACCTCATTTCTGTTTGGCACATTTAGCTGTGCCAAAGGGGGCAGTAGAAGTAGCCTGGAGTGATGATGAAGGAAGAAGGGAGCTTTCTTTCCTGTGTGCTTACCATGAGTGTCACCATTATTTTGGCTGGACCCGTTCACTCTGGTAATCATATTTGGTTTCAGATTCCAGTTCTGTTGTCACTTTTAGAACCACCCTCATTTTTTCTTAGAAATACCAGCAGCAGTTGGACACTGACCTCCTCAGGGGTCCAAGTTGCAGCCTTGGAGTGAGCAGGGTTGTGGTCCTCTGAGTTCTTGAAGCAGGAGCAGCTGTTCACTGTGCCGTCTTTAGAGGTCTGGGTCCTTGCTCTGCAGGGAATGTTCTTTAATCATCTCTGCTCTAGTAAACCCAACTTCTTTCTTATGTTCTCCTGGCCCTAGGAGTGTTAGGTGCCTTCTGTAGCTACTTTGTTGTTGTAGGTTGAGTTCTCCAGAAGCAGACACTGAATTGGAGTTTCAAGTACAAGATTTTGTTAGGGACCAACAGCTGTGAAAAAAGGCAAGGAAGTTGGTTGTGCAGATGAGAAATACAAGTACAGACGTACCTGGGACATAATACAGGTTCAGTTCCAGACCACTACAATAATAGGAATACCACAATAAAGTGAGTCACACAAAATTTTTGGTTCCCCAGTACATAAAAAAGTTATATTTACACTATACTGTAATCTGTTAAATATGTAGCATTATGTCCAAAAATGCAATACCTTAATTAAAAATATTTTATTGCTAAGAAATAGTAACAATCCTCTGAGCCTTTAATGAGCCATATGTTTTTGCTGGTGGAGGTTCTTGCCTCATTGTTGACAGATGCTGACTCTTCCAGGTGGGGGTTGCTAAAGGTTGGGGTGACTGTGGCAATTTCTTAAAATAGGACAACAATTAAGTTTGCTGCATCGATTGACTCTTCCTTTCACAAATATTTATCTAGCATGTGATGCTGTTTGATAGGATTTTACCCACAGCAGAACTTCTTTCAAAATTTGAGTCAGTCCTCTCAAATTCTGCCACTGCTTTATCAACTAAGTTTATGTAATGTATTAAGTCCTTTGTTGTCATTTCAACATTGTTGACAGCATCTTCATCAGGAATCAATTCCATTTCAAAAAAACCATTTTCTTTGCTCACCTATAAGAAGCAACTCTTCATCCATTCAAGATTTATCATGACATTATGGCAATTCCATCATATCCTCAAGCTCCACTTTTAATTCTAGTTCTCTTTCTATTTCCATAACATCTACAGCTTTTTCCACCGCTGAAGTCATCTGTGAAGGTTGAACTCAGTGTCTTCCAAACTCCTTTTAATGTTAATATTTTGACCTCCTCACGTAAATCAGGAATGTTCTTAATGACATCTAGAATGGTGAATCGTTTCCAGAAAGGTTTCCATTGATTTGCCCAGATCCATCAGTGGAATTACTATCAATGGCAGCTATAGCCTTATGAAATATGTTTCTTAAATACAAAGACTTGAAAGTCAAAATTACTCCATCCATGGGCTGCAGAATGGATCAACATCCATCCATGTTAACAGGCATGAAAACAACATTAATCTCCTTGTACATCTCCATCAGCGCTCTTGGGCAGTCAGGTGTATTGTCAGTGAACAGTAATATTTGAAAAGATATCATTTTTTTTCTGAGCAGTAAGTCTCAACAATGGGCTTAAAATATTCAGTAAACCATGCTCTGAACAGATATGCTATCATCAAGGGCTTTGCTGTTTCACTGACAGAGCACAGGCAGAGTAGACTTAGCATCATCCTTAAGGGCCTTCAGATTTTTGGATTGGCAAAGGAGCATTGGTTTCAATTTAAATTCACCACCTGCATTAGTCCCTAACAAAACTGTCAGCCTGTCCTTTGAAGCTTTGAAGCCAGGCATTGACTTCTCCTCTCTAGCTGTGAAACTCCTAATCTTCTTCCAATAGAAGGCTGTTTCATCTACACTGAAAATCTGTTGTTTAGTGTAGCCACCTTCATCAGTGATCTTAGCTAGATCTTCTGGATCACTTACTGCAGCTTTTACATCAGCACTTGCTGCTTCATCTTGCACCTTTATATTATGGAGATGGCTTCTTCCTTAACCCTCATCAACTAACCTGTGCTAGCTTCAAATTTTCTCTCTGCAGATTCCTTACCTCTCTCTGCTGTCATAGAACTGATGAAAATTAGGACCTTGCTCTGCATTAGGCTTTTAGTTAAGGGAATGTTGTGGCTGGTTTAATCTTCTATCCAGACCACTCAAACATTCTGTATATCAGCAGTAAAGCTGTTTTGCTTGCTTATCATTTGTGTGTTCACTGGAGTAGCACTTTTAATTTTCTTCAAGAATGTGTCCTTTGCATTCACAACTTTGGCTGTTTGGTACAAGAGGCCTAGCTTGGCTTTTGACATGCCTTTCTCATTAAGCTTAATCGTTTTTAGCTTTTGATTTAAAGTGAGAAATGCAAGACTCTTCCTTTCACTTGAACACTTAAGCTATGGTAGGGTTATAAATTAATGGGTCCAATTTCCATCTTATATCTTAGGGAATATGGAGGCCCAAGGAGAGGGAAAGAGATGGGGAAATGGTCAGTTGGTGGAGCAGTTGGAATACACATAATTTTTTTTGGCTTGTTTGTCTTCTTCTGTGGTTGGAATTTGTGGCACCCAAAACAATTATGGCAACATCAAAGTTGACTGATCACAGATCACCATAACAGATATAATAATAATAAAGACTGAAATATTGTGAGAATTACCAAAATGTGACACAGAGACACAAAGCAAGCACTTGCTGTTGAAAAAATGGTGCCAAACAGATTTGCTCAACAAAAGATTGCTACAAACCTTCAATTTGTAAAGTGAAAGCAAAAGAGTATCTGTCAAGCACAATACATTGAAGTGTGATAAAATAAGGTGTACTTGTATATTGCAGCTTCGGCCAATCTGGCAGTGAGCTCTGGACTGAATGTTGCTTGACAAATTTGTCCGAGTTGGGCCAAAATGGTCTGGTCTTCATCCCTTCAGTTTGTTCATTCCCTTGGATGTGGGAGAAGGGCATGAGCTTGGTAGGATGCCTCTTTGTAACTGAGGCTGACCCCAAAGAGCTAACATCTGGGTGCTGTCTTCTGATCATAATTATGGAGATGGTCAGCAAGTCCTCTCTTGAAGGAGGATCCAAGAGGCATATTTGTGTATTCTACAGTCCAATATTTGCACTGCTCTGACCCACTTTTTTGATGTATATTGGGGGAACAACACCTCCAGGATTATGGTGGACATCCCTTTCTGTGGGGAACCTTAGAAGAGGGAAGTTAATGGGATAAACCATAGTCCCTCTGCAGCATTTGGGATTGAGGCTGAAATGGATACTTACTGTCTCACTCCTCCACTGTCCATTCTAGTTTCCTTGACTGTATGTTATGACCCAGGTATTTATCTCCAAAAGACCTGAGCACTGGGTCATCATGCCCTTCTCAGGCTATGATTGCTGAACCTGTCCGTTTATACTGACAATCAGGCTGGGGAGTACCAATAGGCACCTAAGGAGATTACCTGGGTTCTATGCATACACCCTTATGTTTCCATCTTGTAACAGAAGCCCTGCCTTCTCCTGATGATTAGGGTCAATCACTTCTGTCAACAATGTGATCATCTTCTTAGTTGGTGCCAGGACACAGTGAGTTCTAGTGGCAGCTTAAGCTTATAATTTATTGGGACTCTAGCTTTGCCCTGGTGAAAATATGTCCCACTGGGGACCAGGACCTTTGGGCTGCAGAGTCCAGAGTTGCAGTAGGCAAGAAGCACAAACCACTCCAGTGAGTCACTGTGAGTGACAGTAAGTGGGGCTACTCCTGTTTCCAGGCCTTGGTTCCCAGACCCATGTAAAGATCTGTAATTCAGTGCACACAATTCATTCTGGGGAATGGTAGTATATTGCCTCTGAACAAGCACTTCAGCTTTAGCTCAGTTGTACCATCAGTAGATATTTCCAATGCTTTATTATGCTGGCAGTTCCTAGATTATGTTGTCTGATATACAGCCAGTATGTACCATGTTCTTTGGCCCCCTTGCAAAACTTCTTCACTGTAAAGTGGTACCTTGATCTGATATGATATTATATGGAAACACCAGACCAGTGGATCAAATACTCCCAATGTCTTTGGATATTGGTGCTCACTGAGGCTCACTGCCTTACCTCAGTGAGATAAGGCAAATTAATATCAAGAATATGTGTCTATTACTGTAAGAATGAACCACTGGCCCTTCCAGGATGATAATGACCAATTGTAGTCAATTTCCCTCTATGTGTTCTTCTAGAAATTATGGCAGATTAGTGGATCAGCTTGGTCTTTATTGTCAGTTGGCTGATGGCATGCCTCTACTTCAGAATCCCAGAGGCATACACTGTGATTCTTTCTCTGGGGCTTACCACAAACTCCACCCAACATCCTTTTCTGTCACAGATACTTTCAACATCATAGGGTCTACTAGAGGGTATGACCCCAGTGGAAGGCTGTTTGCATCACAACCTGGACCTGGTGCAGAGCTCTTTCCTTCTATGGTTTCCACTCAAAGATGACATCATTATATGTTACCAAATATAAGGACCAGAGTTGTGGTCCTAGGTATCAAATTTGCTGCCTCTAGGAACCAAAGCAATCCCCAGGCATTGTGTTTTCTTCTTCATGATAGGAGATGGAGAAAGGAATAATTTGGCCTTACTTTGGAAGGGATAACCCAGCATATTCCTGGCTCTTAGAAAACTAAAAATTTTACTGACACAGCATGTCTTTGATTACAATTTATTATTCTTCACAGAGCTTATCT